TTAATTTCATCATAAAACATGAAAACTTCTACCTTTCTAAGCCTATGCTTCTATCATATATTTTCATATAAATTCTGCAAATATTTGTCACTTAATCTGCAGACGGCATTAAAGAATCATGCATATTTGTTCATGGCTCATATAGACTGCTGGCTGCTGTGGGATATTTGGACTGGGTGACAGGAACTTCCCCATACAGAAACGAGACCTGTAGTGGACCCACAATGTTAAAAGAGCAGCAGTAAATAATGGCAAGGGACAATTGGTGCCATGTCTTATGTGATTTCTGTACAGAAGTCACTTATGTGACTTCTGATGGGTAAGTTCTGGTACAGACTTCTTCTGTGAGTCTGTACCAGAACTTACCCATCAGAGCCTCCTTCAGAGCCATGCTTGATTTTCCAGACCTGTTCCCTTCCTGCCTGCTAAAATCCATTTTCAGCCAAAAACTGCTAATAAACGTAATGCCTTAAAATAGCAGTATAATGTACACAAATGCTTGTAAGCTGTGCAGGCCCAGGCACAGTGCTACTTCTCAGGCTGCTGTTCTACTAAGAATTAGTACTATTAATGATTTATGTGGTGCCACTGAGCTGTGTGACACTTCCTAAACTTGTAAGAAGGCTGGTTTAACCATAAAGTCAGAATAACTTCCACAGTTTCACACAGTGAGGCAATGGGCCTCTGGGGGAGGTCAGTCCACCTGGAGGGTAGGTGCAGAGCTGCTTGTGGACAGGACCTCCAACATTCTAAGCATTCATTTCACCTGGAATGAGACAAAAGGCATTAACAGAATTTTCCTAGAATAAAAAGACTTATTTTCGATGTGTCTTTCTGAACTGGAGAAATGCAGCTTACATCTCTTTTAGTTTAAGAAACAAGTGCAGTTTTTATAAACAGAAAACCAGTGAAGAGGTGCAATTTCCATTGCAACCATGGATGTACAACATACTACAGTATTAACATGAAGAGGGAGTTGAGCCTTTTAAGACTAATGGGAGGAATTTAGGACAGGACAGGCCTTGGATGTAACAGCTGGAAGAAGCATGACTTGTAGGAAAACAAAACAAAACCAGTCTTTGGCTATTCTGAACAAGTAGAAAAAGTTCCAGAAAAAAAAAAAAAGAAAAAAAAAAGAAAAAAAAAAAAAGAAATAACCTACTGTAAGGATTTACTAATATAACTAAAACAAGATCTGTACAATATGTACTGGTAAAGCCCTTCAGTGTGTTTAAACACACCTATACATGCTGCATTTATGACCAATATTATGCATTTTATTGAACCACAGAATTAGTTCAGACTACAGTTTTTTCCATCAAGAAAATGTTTCAGAATCATTCATCTGCAAGTGAAAGGATTGATGTTAAAATGGCAAGGAGAAAATAAAATATTAAACAAGTCCACTTGTTTTCAGCTGCCCTCTTCATTTTAATAAAGAATATTTCAAAGCAGAAAGATGCTTCAAGTAAAAAAAATAGCATTTTGTTCTAAAAAACTCCATCTTTTAAATTCTCACATTGTTCCCATCCCCCATGGAAGACTTGAAATTTAATGCAAATCAATGTAAAAACAACCATTAAATTGGAATTCTGGGTCCTTTAACAGAAAGCTGTTTTTCTGAATACTTTCCATATAATGGTTTGCAGCTGTTGTGGCCAGACAAGTGTTAATTTAGAGGGCAAGAAAGAAATGCCCTGGGAGAAGAGAGCTCTGAGTGAACGGGGGCTCTGTAACTCCTGGGCCCCACAGCTCCTCACACCCTTGGGCTGCTCCCCAGCTCCCAAAGCTGCCACCAGCTGGGCTCACCCTGGCCACTCCTGCACCCCACTTGGCTGCCAGCACAGCTGCTCCCCCACTTCCCAACTAGGGTGGTCTCTCTTCCCTCGCCCACCACTCTGTGAATATTTACTGGAAACATGTTTTCTTGGAGGAGAGTTAATCCTTTTTCATGCAGAGCTCCCCTCCCTTTTCCCAAGAAGCTGGTTCCTGAAATCGTATTTTATTATGGATAAATAAAACACTGCTAAAATTAGGCTCAGAAAGAGAAGTAGCAGGGTTTCTTGGCTCTATGCTTTCTCCTGTGTGGTCATAATCTGTTCCAGAGAGCTGCCTCTGGTCCTTTGCCTCTCCAGTTACACCAGTTCAGTGCAGTTCTTGGAGGCATGTCCCTGTCTTTGTCAGGATGTGTCCGTGCAGCAATTTCACATTGCATCTGTTTCTTCTGCTGTGCTGACAGAGAATCACAGAATCATCAAAAAAGATTGGCTGGAAGGGACCTTAAAGATTATCCAGTTCTAACCCTCCTGCCATGGGCAGGGACAATTTCCACAAGACAAGGCTGCTTAAAACCTCATCCAACCTGTCCTGGAACACCTCCATGGATGGGGCATCTGAATCCCAGTTTCACATCTTTCTAACCTCTGTCTCTAACTGCCTCTAAGTAAAAATCAAGGTAACAATACTTGCCAATAATGCAAAGTTATTATTGATATTTAAAAATGAATCACTGCTTTAAAGATCTGGTGAAATACCTTCTTAGGCTGCCTAATCAGAAAGCAAAATGGTATGTCTAATTCAGTATAGAGGAAATGGTGTTCAAAGTGAAACCAAATCCTAGCTTCATATAAATAGTGATAGACACTGAGCTTGCTGGGGTTATCCCTCAAGGACTGAAGGGCTTTTTATTTTCATGCATATCTTGTTAAAATATCGATTCATGGATGATAAAAAAATCTAGAAATTATTTCAAGGAAAGAGAAGACAAAATAGTCAGTAGATGTCCTGGTTTAGGGCAAGTTTGGGAGATAACCCCCAAAGGGGCTTCTCTACGAAAGCAGATTCAATTGCCCCTCCCCCCCCAACCGGTTCGGGAGAAAATATCTCCTTGGAGAAAAAGTGGAAAGAAACCTGTTTATTAAACAATAGAACCCAAACAATATTAAACAATAAAACTTCTCACTGCTCCAAACAAAACCAAACTCAGAACAGTCCCCTCCCCGGATTGCAGCTAGTCTCACTCAGTTTTTGATCAGTCTCTCTGGTGCTGGAAATGCCGCGGCCCAGGCCCGGCCAAGGGGCCTCAGGTGGAGCTGCCGGTGCTCTTCTGGGTGTTCAGTCCAGAGCAGGCTGGATCCAAGAAAAAGGAAAAATCACAGTCCAGGGAACTTCTTTGCCTCAGCTAGCTAAAACTAACTAAAAGCCAAAAAAATAAAGGGGAAAAGAGGAGCTCTGTCCTGCTGTCTGTACATCCGCAGACAACACAGTCCGGGAGCAGGAATGTGGAGGAGTGAGTGCAGTCTGAAAACAAACTGCGAGCTTCTTCCCTCCCCTCTTCACTCTCTGGAAGAGTCTTAAAGGTGTAAAACTTATTATTCAGTATAAACAGAACAAGACGATTGGGGATAAAAGCATCATATAGTCAACCCAGGACAGTAGACAAGTCAGTATTCTCTTGAAGCAAACTGTGATTCAGTTGCATCTTCAATGCACTGGTATACTTCCTATTTCCTCTCATGTGGAAAATGATACCAGAATCCTAGAGAACAGTTCAGGTGGCAACACGGATAAAGAAAGTACGCAAAGGTATACATCAGATGAGGAATGACTATATTAGGGTTTCCCCAGCCTGGGAAATAGAGGGCTGTGGTGAAGGTGTACAAAACCCTGAGTTGATGGAGATGCCAAGGATCCATTCTTTTTTCTCTTTTCCTTCCAGATCTTGGGGACATCAAATGTCATTCATTAGAGAGAAGGTTAAGCACACTTACTGTACAATATTTTGGATTTCAGAAAGTCTGCATGGGTTAAAACAAAAGGCATTAGATACAAAGGAAATCCCTGAAATCACACAGGGTGCGAGGGCATTGCCAAACTTCCTTTCCCTCTCTCTGTGCTCCCCACTCAACTGTTGGCTGTACCTGAGATGTGGCCAGACTAACCTTCAGTCTGAAAAAATTCTTCCTGGTTTTACATCCTTTTTTGATTGCTATTTCATTGTACTACAAGGGCTCCTCCAGGCCAAGGCAAGCATTTCATTTAGCAGCACATTCTCCTCTGCAGCAGCAGCAGCAGCAGCTCAGCACTGAGCAGAGCACATCTGCTGTGAGCCCAGCAGCCACCTGAACCAGTGCTGCCTGCTCTGGAGCCTCTGTGTCATCCTCTCAGCTGCCCAAAGAGCTGAAATGGGAACTGTGAATTTTCAAATTCCTGACCTCCAAAACACCTTTTTTTTTTTTTTTTTTTTTTCAATTGGAGCTTATCAGGCCTTGTCCAGCAAGACTGAAACCCTCAGTAGTTTAAAGATTAAACAAAGAACAAGGTGCAGCTGCCCTTCCCCTTGGGAAAGACAAACAAATCCATTATAAACTTTTAAATGATAAAGTCCATTCAATGTACTTTATATATCTCTTACATTTTTTTTACTTTAAAGTACATTAAATATAATATATACATTATATACATAATATATATGTATTTATATACATTCAACAATGTATATAAATAACAATATAAACATTCAACATAACTACTTAAAAAAAAGAATTTACATCATTATAGTTGAATTTTCTTCCATAAGAGAACAAGCCGTATTGTATAGCTAAAAATAAGGCAGGATGAAAATCTGTATATGGTTCTGGGTGTTTTTTTCACATTTTATTAACACTTTGAATCTGGTGCCTCACTGAAAAGCTGATAATATTTAAGCAATTGCTAGTTACAATGCATGTGTGGACAAACACAAACTATTTTTATAGGAAGAAATGTATAGGAAATTATTTTGCTGTTGATAACTGGAGTGGTTTTCCAGTGTAATCTCTGCTTGACTGTGAACTGGGTATTATTTCCTCAATGAAGGGTTGTTTCTGTGCCTCACTGCATCACCACAAGAAACTGAAAGCTCTGCAAGCCTCTATAAGCTGTGGGAGCTGCAGAAGACTTGTCTCTCTTCCTTTTCTGACAGAGATTTTGCTCTTCTCAAAGTAAGGAAAGGCAGAAAAATGCAGAGTTTACAGAAGGTAATGGATTTCTGCATCCTCCACCAGACCACTCTGAGTTGCAGCCTCGTGTCCCTGCTGACGGCTGGCAGCGAGTACATCTTCTCATCTGTGGTGTTCAAGTGTCCCTGCAACTCTGGAAACATGCTGTATGGTTATTCCTTCCTCTTAGCACCTGCCTTTGTCCTCTTGCTGCTCGGCTTCATGACGAGCACCAGGACATGGCTCCTGCTTACAGGCACCTGCTCTCTGGAGAAGCATCCCCAATGCTGTTCCGGCAGATCCTGGGCCAGTTTCTTCCAGGTGTTGGTGCCGATGACAGTCAAGGCCTCGGTGGCCCCGCTCACCTGGATAGCGGTGGCCCTGCTCGGAGCCAACTTCTACGAGTGTGCGGCCACTGGGAGCAACATGACAGCACACCTCTTCTGTAAAAATAATACAATTTACAACCAAGAGCAGCTGTACAAAATGCCCTGTGATAAGGAGTTAGCAGCAGAGATGTCGGATGCATGCCTCAGCTTTCAAGCACAGTCACAGGTAAAGCCTTGCAGCTCTTCTCACACTATGGGCTTCAACCCTGGCTACTCAATCTATAGAGGTGCCTTCTGGGGACTGTAAATAGTCCTTTTCTCTTATGTTATATAATATCATGTACAAAAAGCACATGGCTAGCCATGTTTTTATTCTTTGGCAAATAAGCAGCAACAGAAAAGCAATAAGTGTATTTTTACTTTCTGGTTTTGCATGTTTGCATGGTAATGGTTTGGCCCTGCCATTACAAAACCTCATGGACAGGGAACCAGCCTAGAGAACGGGACTTTGCACAGCAAGTTTTCTTCTCAATTAACTTAGACATGGTGTGAACTCTTCTTCTTCTCCACTTTTACTTCTCTGAATACCTCAAACTTCTGCAGATAGGCATTAGTTGAGGGGAAGCTGAGATCACTAACAGAGGAAAAAGCTGATGTCTCCTTGCAACAGAATGGTTGCAAGTAGATGTCTGGAAAGAGAAGCAAATACAAACAGCTCGTTTGACTATAAACTCAATGCTTGAACCCCTTAATAATTTCACACTTGTGCTCTAGCAGAGTAATTAAAATATACATCTGTCTTGCTAAAGTTTCTTGTTCTGAAGGCAAACTGCATGATCAAGCAATAATACATGTGGATTGTTTTTTGTTTGGTTCATTGACAGCACACCAGTTTTGTTTCTACATTTATATGGATTTTGTCTTAACTCCAGTAAGAAAATCATGGTTTTCAACTTTTTCTCAGTAAAACATTGAGTTGGTTAAGGGAGTTAAGTTTATAAGAGTTTATAATTTCTTGAATTGTTGTAAGTTCCTGTTAAGTACAAATGCCTATTAAAACAAAAATGTGGTTTCATTTGTTAAATACTTAGCAGGCTGCTTCTCCAAGAAAAAGGCTGTAAAGGGGCAAACTCTATACCATTGATTTTAGACAGGGTAAGAAAGGAGCACAATCAAGGAAGCCTGATTGTTACTGACATTGCAGTGGAATCTAAAAGAGACATCCAGTCAAACAAAAATAAGAAAGTGTGAGTGAATTTTTATTACTGACCACTATTTTTAAAATGCAATCCAATTTCAACAAAATTAAGAATGAAAAACAACACAAACTTCTTTTTGTTTAGCACTCAATACTTTTTCTTTTGAAGGAAAATTCATCCTGAGGTAAAAGAGCATGTTGCAGGATCTCTGCCTGGAGCTTCCAGCTAAATACCCCTGGGTAGAGGAAACACCAGAAATTACTAGGACACGTGGTTTTGATGGGACCTCTGAGACTTGTCTAAGAGTGTTAAAATCAGTTCGAAAACAATAATGAATTCCCATATTCCATAGCCAAATCTGTGTCCTGTCTACAAGACATACAGGACACAACCTTTCCTCTGCGTTGTGCAAAAACCAGCTGTTTTTGCAGGCTCAGACATCAGGAAGAGTAACAACGTTCCATGAGAACATATCCAGCAGGAGGAGCTCTGATTTGCAGCACAATGCACACAGAGTGATTCTGCACCCTTTGTACCATAAATGTGACCACAACTGCAGAAACTGATGGTCAGTATCTTGCCTTAAAACATAAGAAAACTGGATATGACTGAGTAAACAACTTCTTTCCATCTTCTCTTTTTCGGTATTCATCTTTATTCTGACAAGATCAGCTGAGGGGTGCAGAAGGTCTGTATGTCTGTCTGAATTGCATGCATGGGATCCCCTACTTTAGCAGCAAGCAGACAGTTACAAGCACTCCAGGGTGTCTTTGCTTACAAGTTTTCTTATTTTTTCAGTGTTATGTTCTATACTCCCACATATGACCATGCAAAACAACCATTAACCTATATATCCTTTTTTCCAGCTGATAGGATGGTTCCTGATAGGCAGCATCATAACTGTGGCACTGATTTCAACATGTGTCACCTACTGCTACTCCCCGGTCAGCTATCTTCAGTTCAACTTCTGGAAAATGTACTCAAAAAAAGAACGTGAACTCTTTGAGATAAAAGCCAATGAGCATGCAAACAAGCTAGCAGAAAGAAATACAAATTGCTTTTTTGAAGCCACTGACCCAGCACCATTTTATACACCCAGGAACACAGACTGGCAGAAGATTTCAATCTTTCATACCTTTAATTCACAAGAGCAGTATTACAGCATGATACACAAGTATGCGAGCACCAAGAGATGCAACAATACTGGATTTGAAAACAAAGGTCAGGATCTCGACTGTTTAGAAGACCAGGCAACCTTATGAAGGTTGTAATGAAACAAATCCTTTGCAGTGCTGGAAGTCTTTTAACTCTACTGATATAAGAAGTCTTATTCTCTGTTCTAACTGAAATCTATGCAAACCAAAGGTGAAAGCTAATACTTGTAATCCTCAGTAGATTTGCTTTTAAATACACTTTAATCCTTTTGCTTAGGTACATTTCAATGAGAGTTTTCTTATGTTGTTATCCATTAAGAAGAGTTGTATGTAAAATAATCAGCATCCACAAAGATGTCAGCATATATTATGTCAAATTATTACCAATACCTTAAAAGCACTTGGCAGGTGGATTGATAATAGCAAATCTTACCAAAGAGACAAAGATTAGAATGGAAAATTTGATCAGAAATTCAGCTTAGTTTATTTAAATTTTATTTTAAAGAGAGAGCTCTTTCTTTAAAATGAAGCTTTCAGTGAAGCTTAGAGCAAGCTGTAGATTGAAAGATTTAGCTTGTTTGAGGGTTTGGGCTCATGCATAATATGGCAGTGTAGCTGAAGTTTATATATAAACAAACATTAAAAGCACATTCATACACTTAAGGACATTAAAAATCTGCAATCCAGATTAGCAAGTAGTAGTATTCTTATCAAACAACTTCTCATTATAAGAAATAGAGATAGAAGTTTTGAGTGAAGAATAATAAAGTTCACTTTTGTCCTGAAAAGCTGTTGCTTAAGAGAGCGTTTTATGTGTCAGCAGCTCTCTGGCCTCAGAGAGCAACACACAACTTTCCCAGGTATTGTCCTGGGGAAGGCTGTGAGAATATAAAAGAAAACAATGATAAACAATTCTTTTCTTCACTTGCTGCACCTGTTGTTGTGAACATGTGTTATGGAGATTTGTTTACCAAAAGGTGGTTTCTTAATTAGCCAATGGTGATGGTGTTTTAATTAAAGGACCAATTAGGTCAAACTGCATTGGATTGTCTGTAAGGGTGATGGGTTTCTTAATAAGTATAGTATAATAAAGCAATTGATCAGCCTTCTGGAATCATGGAGTCAATGCTAATTATTACCTGGCCAGGGATGCTATGCTATGACAGTTTTAGATATGTAAGTCAGATTGTTTGGTCCAGGCTGTCCATTTACTTCTCCCAGAAATTCTCTCTTTCTACACAATAAATTCAGAAATCATTCATACAGGCAGGCAGGAATCCCAAGAAGTTATTTATTACATTCATTTTGCAAGGAAGAAAGAAGGGGAGAGCCTATTTTAACTAGTTGAATATAATGAGTTTGAAACTTTTTTTTTCCTCACAATAATCTTGAAATATAACACATGAAGACAGAACCAAATTTAATTCTGCATGTAGAAAAGAATTTTTTAAAAATATTCATCACAGTCTCTTACTTGCTCAGTGCTCTTTTCCTTCCAAGAAACTGGATGATTATGGAGTAACAGTGCAGGCTGGGGGCTGATCTCTTAGAGAGCATCTCTGTAGAGAAGGACCTGGGTGTCTGGGTGGATGGCAAGCTGACTCAGCTCTGGTGAGGTCACATCTCAAGTGCTGTGTCCAGCTCTGGGCTCCTCAGTACAAGAAGGACAAGGAGATACTGGAGAGGGCCCAGCAGAAGGGCCACAAAGGTGATTTGGGTCTGGAGCATCTCTCTTATGAAGGGAGACTACGGGAGCAGGGCCTGTTTAGTCCAGAAAAGAGAGGATTGGGAGAGGATCTTGTTAATACCTCTCAAAGGTGGGTGGCAAGAGGGGGGTGCCAAACTCTTTCCAGTGGTGCCCAGCAACAGGAGGAGAAGCAATGGCCACAATCTAAAGCACAGAAGTTTCACCTCAACATGAGAAGAATTCTCTCACCATGAGAAACTTTACATTGAGGGTGGCAGAGCATTGACACAGGCTGCCCAGGGAGGTTGTGGAGTCTCCCTCCCTGGAGATAATCCAAACCCACCGGGATGTGTTCCTGTGTCACCTGCTCTAGGTGACCTTGCCTTGTCGGGGGGGTGGACTAGATGGCCTTCAGGGATTCCTTCCAACCCTAACAGTTCTGTAATTCTGCAAGAAAACAAGGACAGTCTAGGTTATTCACTTTAAAGATAATAATAATTTTTAAAAAGAGAATATTTGGTTTGTGTTGGTGGAAAAAGTAAAAATGCCATTGCCAATAAACAGCCTTTATTGTAGTCAGCCACATGTACATCTCAACCAGCAAAAACCCCACTGAGTGCTCTTGTACAGGCAGTGAAATCAGACAAATTCCACAACACATTTCAGGTCTAATTAAAAAAAAACAGTAATAATAATTTTTTTTTAAAAGGCAGGGAAACTTGTTACTGGTTACAAGCTATTGTTACACGTACATGTTGCCACTTCTTACTGCTAGCAGGTAACAGTAGTTGGGCTGAGACCAAAGCTGGGTAACAAATAATTTAGTTTTTGTTCCCTACAAAATTGCTCACTTAAAGCTCCTTTCTGCTATGCCACCACTGTACAGTGGTGGCATAGCAGAAAGACAAACAAAGGGAGAGAGATTATCATGAGGACTGTTCAGGTCTGGTGAGAAGAAGCCCAAGGTAAGAGACGCCCTCACTTAGCATGATGAAGATGTAAACAGACTAAGGGAAAAACAGAAAAAGAAGGTACAAAACACAGAGATAAAATCAGAGTTAACTTGGGGCTACACACTTAGGTGTTGATTTCAGTTTAAAACAAGTATTTTGGTGAGAGGACGGTAAGCTGCTTTGTGGGTAGGGTGGTGCTGTTCTAGTTGTTTGATGCGTTACAACAACTTTAAACCTTTCCTATAACTTGGGTTTCTCTGAGGCTGCTCCTTCTCTACTTCCCAGTCATGATGGAGTAACAAGTCCACTGCCAAGAGGAAGACGTTCAACAGCTGGCGGTGAAGGCCAGGTAAGAGCAGAAAACACAACCACCAAACCAGTTGTGTGGCAATCTCAGAATTTTAATTCAAGTTTCCTTAGGCAGGTACAGACCCACAATGGCTACACATTAAATATGTCATGCTTTGTTCAGTTTGGCCACAAGATCAGTCTCTTGGAGAGAAGGCTGACATGAAAAGGCACATAGCTTGGTGAGACACAAGCACTGCTGCAGTTGTCAGAGTGCTGCAGCCTGGTATGTGCACAGGACTGAGCAGGAGTGTTAGCAAAACTGCATGTGGAGCCTGAAGAGCTGGAAAGAACACCACCAGCAGCAGTGAAGACCCATCCCTCCCTGGTTTCAAAGACAGCAGGATGTCCAGCATGGAGGACAATGAATGGCAAAGCATTACACACCAAAACGCGCACCTGTGAGTGCGACACTGCACACAGCAATCAGAGCAGAGGAATCCTTTATGGATAACCACACACAGCCAGGGAAATAAAGCACCTCTAGCAGCCATGCTTTGAAACATTACTGACAAAATGGGAAAAGGTCATCAGCTTTACCTGAAAACAGTTGCTATACGGATGAACATTTAGCACACACTAAATACTGAGATAAAACTTGCATTAAGCTCAAGAGCCTGGGTATGTGACAAGGAAGGGCAGATAATTTTGATCTTTTTTACTGATATCTGTGTCACAACAATTAACATTGCTCTCCCCTGCTCTGCCCCTCCTCTTTGCTGCCCAGCTCTCTTCACCTTTCAACCAGGTGCAGCTGACTCAGCAAAGCCGTTTTTACCCTGTCGTCTTCTTCTGAAACAAAAGGCACAAAATATCCCCCAGCAAGGGTCTCTCCCAATATTCCTTTCATTTGTTCCTTCTGTGCTTTCTGTCTTCAGGCTTCCTTAAAAACGTAATTCCTATTTCTGTCACAGCATCGCCCTTCAGCCTGTCCTGGAGGAAGGAAACTTCTGCTGCCAAGTGAACCTGGAAAGAATCAGAACTGATCAGTTAAACAAAGAAATGCCCAGTTTTCCACCCTCCTGCGGTATAATGAGCTTTTTCTCTCTTACCACAAGAGGACTCCCTTTCTCAGGTTTTATAGGAAACAGATATCTAAATTGTTTTAAAATTGCTTTCCCAACTAAGCTAATACAAAGGAAGTTTATAGACACTGGAATTTATATAGCACATTACCCTTCTCCCCAGTGCTTTGTTTTCTTCTGAGACCCTAAATTGCATACTTGATGATTTTGTGATCACAGAATTTCCTAGTCATGTACTAAGACTTATGATATAATACTTCTGTTACTTAGTATTGTATCAAATGCTATAATTCTGAGACTGATGTATGTAAATAACACTGCAGGGTTGAGTTTTTTGTTTGAGTTTTTATAAGATCTATGCCAAATTACATATTGACAAAAAACATAAAGCAGCCCAAAAGTAATCTCCCTGAAGAAGCTGTACAGGTCAGAAATTTTCAAATTATGCCCTTTGTTTATTTCTTTGCAAAAACCTTACATTTAAGAACAAAATTTGGATTGCTGTCTGATACCCTTCTGATGCTTTGGTTTTAACATTATACCCCTTTGGTTTTTACATTTTACTCCTCCACACTTCATTCTCTCTTTCAGCAAGTACCACGGTAACCTGAGAATATTATTTATCTTGACATATTTGGAAATAATCAGGGATGACTATTACTGGCTACAGCTGTGCAGGGAAGTGTGGTAGGCTCCAGGAGCAGCGGAGAAACCCAACATGCCCCTCTGTCCCTCCACTTTAAGTGTTACCTGTCTTCCTGATCCCACCTGGCTTTTGCACCCAAGTCAGCCACTGAACAGACTGAACAGCCAGACATGGACAGTGTGGAGGTGAGATAATCCATGTGCTTCTCTATCTCAGGATCCAGGATCAGCCTTGTCCTCTTTTATCTATCCTTGTCTTATATTTTATTTAAATATAGACATTTAATCCAAGAGGTTAAACAATACTGTATTTCCTACTTTTATCTGAACAAGTGATTTTGTTTTCCTGTGCTTCTGAGAATTAACAAAGAATGGAGAAAACAGGTGTGCACTTCCTTACCATTTCCAAGGCACCTCGAATCACCCCACAGAGGAGGTTACAATAGCAAAGTGATGCTCGTTCCGCTGGCAGCTCCTCCACAAAGTCCACTAGTGGATTTTTGTCCAGGATTAAGGAGAATTCATTCCCTGTGGCACTATTGCAGCTCACACTAGGGGTGACCCCAAGGTACATCTTGAAAGCCACCTTCAAAAGAATGAAACTCTGCTGCTTAAATGGGTTGCGTGCAAACCAGAGGTGAAACTTTAAAAAGAAGCATCCTGTAGACCAATTTTACCCCAGGAAATAAGGGGGAAGAGCCAGACAGGATAGAAATCAAAGTACATTTTTCTCTTCTGTGATCAGCTTGAGCCAGCAATGCAAATCTAGAGCTGTGTGATGCTCCAGGAAAACACACCAGAGAGCTGTTCTTCTTTGAAGTTCCTACATTTACAACCCCACACAAAGTGGTTTTACTGTTAACATTCGTCCTCTTTCAGTCACGTCATACTCCCTTGGGACCATTAGCATCTATATTAGGTCATTCACTTCCTCACCAGCAACTTCTATAATCACAGCTCACGATCTCCCTCTACTCTGATCCCTCCATCTGCAGTCACTCCACAAAACAAACAGCCCAACAAGAGCAAGACCTCCAAGACTGCAAACAGCCGGCTACACGGAGCCTGCTTCCTTCCCGCGGCGGGTGAACCGTGCTGTGACTGTGCCACATCTGGCCTGCCGGCGCTCGGCAGCGGTGACCTCACGGCGTTATCTCGGCCGGGCGTGGGAGGCGGCGGAGCGGCTCCTCGGCACGGCTCTGCCCCGCTGCGCGCCGCTGCCCGCGCAGAGAAGCAGCCTCGACTTCCACCTCCTTAGTGAGCAGCAGAGATGGATGCGTTCCAAACAATCCTGAAGTTCTTTATGAACAGGAAAACAGCTATAGGTTACAGTTTTATGGCACTGCTGACGATGGGAGGTGAACGTGTGTTTTCTCTTGTTGCTTTCAGATGCCCTTGCAGCAATGAAAACTTCAGGTACGGTTTGGTATTTCTCTTCTCGCCAGCTCTTGTTTTGCTGGTTATTGGATACTTCTTGAACAGCAAGACCTGGAAACTCTTCACAGGCTGCTGGGTGAATCCCAGGAAAATATTCCCCAGAGGGAATATCTGCCATTTCTTTTACGTCTTTGGACAAATCACTTTAAATGCTCTGGTAGCCCCAGTGATGTGGCTTTCCGTGGCTTTGCTCAACGGGACTTTTTACGAATGTGCCATGAGTGGCTTGAAAAATCCTGCCTACTTACAAGCAGTTTGCCACAGCAAATCGGAGAGCTGCTTTGAAGAGCTACACAAAGTAGCCTGTGACAAAAGCTCCCTGCCCTTTTCAGAGAGTGATGAACTGAAAAGAACACTTCAAGCACAGTCCCAGGTAAGAAAAATTATAAACAAAGAGCATTATCCAGGTTGTACTGCTGCTGGGATTTATCTGTGGAAGATCCTGATGTCAGAATTTTTGTTAAAACTGTTGACTTCATGTAAACAATGTTTTGGCAGCCTCACAAAATACAATCAATCCATCTTTTGGTTCAGTTTGAGCTATTTCATATTTCTTAGGGGTCCTCACTGGTGGCAGGGTCAATAAGACCAAAAAACCTAAAGCTTTCTTCCTGAATGGAGATTGCTCTAAGGAGGGGAAAAAAACCCCAACTGGATTGTTTAGGAGGCTGATGTCACCCCATTAAAGGGGTCTGTCCTATTAAAAATTCATGCCACACTGTCACATTTTAAATCCTTGTGATAACTGTAGGGAATGTTTATGTCCCTAACAGTAGAAAAATACTGGAAAATAAGATTTGTGAAATATCTTTTGACTGCTTACATAATGTGTTTCTATTTGTATTCCTCATTTTCATGATGCCAAATGTAAGCATGTTTTTGTCCTGCTTGGAGGAGGTGAGAAACAATAAAGCAAGCAGATCATGCAAAGCTGAGATCTTACTACATTCTACAGTATTTGTGCAGTACAGTTTTGCTCTCTGCATTGTAGTGCAAATAAATTCAGAGGCAAAAAATCAAAACGGTGGAGATAATTTTTAAAAAGCTACAGAAAAGGGAAAACACTCTGTGGAGCCAGTAAGTTTTTGTCAGGAATTGTATCCATCTGGAACAATTTCCTTTCCAAGAGCTGTTTTTATTTTTAAGTCCTCTTGCAAATAGGACAAAGACTGCCTGCAGACAAAGCAATTTGTTTGTTAGTTTTAGAAGGCAACAACAGATAGTGCTTAAGAGTTTAAGTTGTAAATATAGGAAATACTGAAAGACCAGGGATTCAGTATTAGAATGAGAATATATGAGTTCATTTTCCAAGCTGCAAGAAAGTGAAAAACTGCTAAAAAGAGCGATTTCTCAAATACTCATAAAAATCACTAGTCAGGACAAAGTGATTGGGAAACAAAGGAAAGCTCTAACTATTCTTCCATACCAGTTCCTAAGAATAGTTGTTTGTCAAGCTTCTTTGTTTCACAGACTTTCCCGAGGAAACTTTCTGTATTCCATCAGCTAAACACAGATTTTTATTGGTGGTTATTTTTTTCAACATCAATACAAAAGTTCACATAAGAAAGGATGCAGCTCTCCATATCATCACCATTAGAGCATGGGAATTCAGTTCCACTTCATACAAGCCTCTGAGCCCTAGAATATTTGTCCTACACTGGAACTTTTTCCAGTGTTTGAAAACAAGTTTAAATTTTTTTTTTCTTTTTTTTGACACATCGCAGCGGATCAGACAAGTAAAACCATTGGCTAGGCCAGTGGTACAAGGCAGGAAAAAAATTGTGTTCACACTGCTGCTCTCCTTAGAGGAGAACATCCCACAATAACCATTTCAAGCACATTTTTCCACTCTTGCCCCTTGCTAAGCAAGTAATTATGGAAGTAGCTCTTTCTTTTAAAATGCTCTTGACAGAACTTTGTCTAAATCTGAAGCTGCTACAGAAAAAAGAATTTGAGTGATGTTGGTTAATTATGTGGCTGTTTTGTTGGAGGTTTTTTCCTAATAAAAAGAAGTCAGAAAATAAAACACCTAACAGTGGCCACAGTTTAAAAGGTTGGCTGATTTGGGACAAAAGTTACTTGCCCTTTTTGGTTTTGTAGTTCTTCATGATTCAAAATTAGTAATTCTTGTTGGGTATTTTTATGTAACGCTTTTAGGAGTTAGAAAAAACTTTACCAAAGAGACACCAAAGGAGCAGTATTGAGAAGCCTCTATGCTGGTGGACTTACTCTTTCTCTTCAGTCCTGTCTTGGTTTGAAAAGACAGGTGTCGAGGAAGGCAGGAGGCTTCCTTGAAATGGAAAATGTAAACCCCCTCCCTCCAAATTATTATAATTTTGAAATTAAGGGGCTCTCAGGCAAAGATATGGGAATAGGAATAACAGTTCTTTACTAGGAAAATTAAAAATACAAATGGAATAGGAAAAGAAAAGAGAAAAGAAAAGAAAAGAAAGGAAAAGAAACCACTGACAGAGTCAGAATACAACTTGACCCCCTGTGGGTCAGGGTGGTGGTACCAGTCCCGTTAAATGGTGGCTGCAGTCCTGGAGTGACAGATGTGGTTCTGTTGAAGCAGTGATCCTGTAGAAGGGTGTAAGTTTTCTCTGAAGGTCTGGTGACAGTGTAGATGGGCCTGGTCTTCCCCTGGGAATCCAGTGGAGAAGATAGTTGCTCCTCTAGGAATCCAGTGGGAAAAGGCTGCTCCTCTGGGAATCCAGTGGAAAAGGCTGACTGTGGTGTTCCTAATCTCAGATTATATCCAGGTAGGAATGCTTGGCTCCTCCCCCTGGGCAGAGCTTCTCACAGTGGGATGATATAATTTTTATCAGTCATGCAGTGAGACTCACTGGCCCATGAACAGCAGATATCTCCCCAGAGGGAGGATTGGTTGTGGAAGAGCTAAAGAAAAACTGCCCAATTAACAGAAGATAACTGCACCACCTTTAACAGATGGGAATAGAATACACACCCCCACTTCCAACCTAAGACACGTCCCCATGTGGATGTCCCAGTAACATCAAGGCCAGCACCAAATGCAAACAAAGTGCGGTCACTTTGTCAGACATTCGTGATTCAAGTAGCATTTTCACTTGCGTCTTTTTAACCTGAAACTGATTTCTTTTGCCTTCCCAGATTTTAGGCTGGTGTGTGATAGTTACCTCAGCTCTCCTCTCCCTGCTAACCACTTGCTGCGCCAGCTGCCAGTCAAAAGTCAGCCACCTCCAGCTGATGTTCTGGAGAGTGTATGAGGGGACGGAGAAGGAGCAACTGGAGCAGATTTTCCAACTGTATGCCACCAAGCTGAGCGAGCGAAACCTGAAGTGCTTTTTTGAAAACAAGGAACCAGAACCCATTTCCCTGCCAGCTTTCCAGGCATGGGAAGATGCTTCCCAGCTCTACTCTTTCAGCAGCAGCAAACAGCATTATAGCACGATTCACAGGCTAGTTGAAGAAGGCCAGAAAGGAACCAGTGAGGAAAGAGAGACATTGCTGGACCTTGCGGACAGAAGGGAAGTACCGTAGACCAAGTATATTTTCAGCGTTTTTTATATCTTGTTAATATGGCATACTTCTAGCTGGTTTTGTCTCTGTATTTTTTTCACAATGGCCTCTTTCTTCTTCATCATGTTTCCTCCCTGTTAGTTACTTGCTCCAAAAGGATGGAATGAAATTATTTCTCAACATGAATGAAAAGTTTGCAGTTCTCCACAGCACCCAGGGTTCATGTCACTGGCTCAGCATCAAGAGCTGACAGCACAAAGAAAGGAAAAATGGTATCTACAAGAGGGTTTTAACAACATGCTATGCAAAATGTGCTATAGTGTGCTTGTCCTATGTAAGTCTAGAGACTATCAACAAGTAAAGTCATTTAAAGTGTGTGAATATAATAACAAGATACGTGTGGCTTTCTGACAGCCCACAGAAAGTAAAGGTTTTCTGTCCAGGTCATTTCCAGGCCAATTGCAGGTGCAGACTTGTTTCGAGGCACCAGTGATCCCTCAAGGCTTCTCTGTCTTTGGATATTTTGTCTTTGTAGAACATCTCCCTATTATCTGCTCCAAGTCTAGACTTTCTCTTTGTATGGATATAAAGTCCTAGTTTTGAGCAAGTGTCAGGCACTGGGTGCAGCCTGTAGTGCTATGTAATACTGTTGTTTCTGGGCCTGCAGCCAGTGTACAACAGAAGGTCTGGATGGAAATTCCACTTTTTAAGACAAAAAAAAATATTTTTCCAGAAGACTGACTTTCATTTTTTTGAATATCCTAGGAAAACTTAGTGTCTGGAGCAAGAAGAACCAGCAGGTGAGGTAACTGCACAGTCAGTGCCTCTGACAAACACATTTCACCCCAGAGCCCTGTGCTTATGTCACTCACTTGGAATTCATCACATGGCTCTCAGGGTGTTCAGAGTATTCGCAAATGCTGTATAAAAGGAGAACAAAGTTACTTTCGCTGGGGTGGCTGGGCAGGCTTTTGTGTAGCATTTTATTGCCAGTCTCACTGAGTCTGCAAAGAATCATAGTTTTGCTGTGCTTGAATCATGCTCTTCTCAACAAACCAGGATATCCTGCCCAGCTGTTCTCATATTCATTGGGTTTCTTCAGCAGGTAAAAGCATCTATATTACTCTTTATGAAATAAAACAGAAGTGCTAATTCAACTCTCTGCTTAGAATTTTCTCCTTATGTTTTCAAGAACTGGTGACCTTTGAGACCATGTTTTAAAGTTCTTTCATCCCAGATGACCCACTTAGCAGCACACTTAAAACATGCCATATGCTTAAATGAGCCTGCTGCAGCTGAAAACACAGATGCAACACTGCCAAAATGAAAGTCACAACAGCAGATGTGTGACGCTGTGCCTGGCACATACACCAACCATTCTCTCCCCAGGAGCTTCTCCTGGTATAGCATCTCCTTACTTCCAGTCTATATGACCCCTCCTATTTGTCTGGTTTTATCTTTTCTTATGAGAAATGCCCCAGCATCTTCTGTCCAACCCCATTTCACCTCCTCCCTGCATGCACAGGGAGATAACACACCCCCTAATAGAACAGCCCCACTGCCTGGGCCAAACTTCCCTGTCCAAAACTGTCTCTCCACCTCCTTCCTCAGATAATCAAAGCAAGCAGGGATGCAATGGGGAGGACAGCAGGTAGGTTAATGAGTTGATCAAAGAAACATGGGAAACAAGTGGGCTGAGGTAAAGATAAGGCCTCCAGTGTGGTATAACAGCTGGGACACAGAGGCAAAAGCATAGCTGGTAGAGGGAAGGGTAGGAGAACAGAGTGATCCCACTTATAGATTTTGGTATCCTCTTTTCCCTCAGAAGAAAGCTTAGGGCTCTGCACCTGAGTACTGAAGGCCATCTGAAACGGCAGCACTTCCTAGCTCTATCTTCTGCTTTATTGTGGAGGGGCAAATCGAAAATGAATTCCCTCTCCTTCTCCTTGCCTGCTTCATGTTTGCAGGTAGCTTATGTTGAGAGTTTCTCCAGTCCCAAGAGCAGCTGTTGAACATTTTGTGCTGCAGTGTGTGCCTGGTAGAGCCCATCTCTCCCTGATCCCCATTCCCAGGGCTGTGTGACTCTTATTAAAACACCTGTGACTCTGCAATTTCCATGTGGATCCTAGAATACTTCTGTGAAAACAGACTGAAATAACAGCCAGTTTGACCCTATCTTTCCAACTGGCATGTGGGTTTGAAAAATTTAATTTAGTCCTTCAAGGGGCTATTGCAAAAGCTGCTTTCCATCAGCAGTGTTCCTGAATCCAGCAGCTACCCTGGCAGCTCAGAAAGAGACAGACTATTGTCAACACTGTCCAAAACAAACTGGAGGGAGAGAGAAACACCCAGCAAATAAAACTAAACAGCAAGATCAACATTATCTGCTGAAATGTTTAGATTCTGCATTAATTCTGATACCCATCAAAATAGGAGTGTACAAGAAAATAAAAAACTTATGTTTAATCCTCTGTGCTCTGTCCCTCGGTTTAGTCGTTAAATTCTCTTAGCTCTTATTCCACTACACCTCTGCTGCTCCATCAAACTTGAAGTCTTTGTTATAAGAATAAAGACTTTTTAACCATGCTAAGCCCTCATATGCTCTCAATTTAGTTTCAGCTGTACTTTGCATTATGGTATGATGAATCTGTCCAAATTCTATTATTAAAAATTCCTATGTAAAAGAGAACTTCCATGGAAACTATGCAAAAGAAGTAGTTGGTTTGCAATGGAGCATCAAATTAAGGCCAAATTGCAAAGATATAGAGTGAAAATTGTGAAAATGTCTTGGCAGGAACAATAATTTAAATGCATAGACAAGCAAATAAATGAATATAAAAGACTTTTTTCTTAAAACCAGGCTATAACTGAACAGCAACTACTTTAAAACTACAATTTACGGCTTCTCAGAGGACAAAACAAAGACTTCTCAGTCTTTGTGACTCCAAAAGAGATGGTTTAAAACTAACATCCCATAAATCTGTCTCATTTTTATCAATGAAATGGAAGAAAAAGGAATGTCTGTTTAGACACGTACATTGGCTTGCCAGCAAAATGATGCCCATATAAAGCAAAACCTCACTTTTGAAAATGTTATTTGCCACTCTATGACATTATACATTGCTTAATGAGAAAATAAATCTGAACAGTTTGGTTAAAAATGTATCTCTGCCCGTTTTAAAAAACTCAGTCAGCATTCCATGTCTCTCAAGCAGCAAGAATAAAAATTGTTAACATTTTGATGGTGCTCAAACACAGCCTAGAATTACTGAAATATTTAGGAAGCCACTAACTTTTCAGTCCCTCTACATACTACTGGGGACTTTTCACTTCCAAACTTTTTATGCATAAGCCATGACAGGAAGTAAGTAAGTAAGTACAAATTTTAAAGAAATTGAAACCATGATTTCAGACAGCATAATAGCAAGATTAATGAAGGACCAGAATTCATCTGCTTAAAAGGGGAAAGGCAGCAAAAATAATATTTCTGCTAGCATACTTTTCATTCTTAGTATTTTTCCTGTCAGTGTTTTGAAAGAGGAAGATATATTAAAGGTGTTGCCATCTGTTGCCAATTCCAAACTTCTCTTCTGACCTTTTCTTTACTCTCCACAGTGCAGCACTTCAATGTCCTCTTTGCTGTCTACCACATAGGCTGTATTACTTAGCACAGCAACCTGCTTATGCATTTCCCTCTCCCTGCTGAGATCTAAAAATCAACATTTACCAGCTTCATAAATTCTGCCAGCTTCTGTCAGACCTTCAAACTGGCCATATGTCAATAGCCAGGGACCTTGTGTGGCAGCACCTTCCATGACACAGGGAAGGACTTTTCCTGTCCTACAGCTCTGGACAGGGGTGACATGGTTGGATTACCCCATCCTTTGTAATTCCACCCTAGGGAGCTCTCTTCAAAGACCTCCAGAGATGTTCTGTCCTGTGTTCACAGGGTACTGAGTGTCCACAATAAAGCCCACCTCTTCAGCCACTGCTTTTCAGGAACAGATCTATCCTTAGGCACTGTTTAATCCAGCAGTGGAGCCTGTGAGCCAGCACCAGCTTGCTGGGGACCAGAGGGTGTGGTCAGGCTGCTTCCATCACTGGCACAGACAAACACCTCCTCGTGCTAGTGAAGGTAATATAAACATTAGATCTAAAACCAGAAGCTGTTTTTTGCAACTCATTTGATCAGATCAATTACATCAAGGTCTTTGAGGAGAAATTGAATTAAAAATTTGATTTTACGGGATTGTAGAGAAAAATTATCAACCTCATTTCAAAAGTAATCCTCAGTCAGATTCAAATTCTGAATCCCGTCTTGGACATAACTTCTTCAGCTGGGCTTTGTTCTTAATATCATTCCTCAACTGGTTTCCATTTCTTACCCCAATTTGCCAGAAAGCCTACTTTTACATGTCCTGTTTCATCTCTTTTCTAATTCAATCCCATCTGTAACCCTGCCAAGTCACAGGACCAACATGAGAAGACAGTGAATACCATGGGAACTCAGTGTAGAAGGGCTCACTTTGGCTTTTCATCAAAACTTGTTGGCCCTTCTCCAGGCCAGTATAAATTAGCAGTAAAGCCCAGGCTTTGCAATTTGAACCAGTGGTGGAAGTTTTAAGCTCCCAGTCACTGCTTTAGGTGCACCTTTCCTCCAGTATTTATTTCTTAATCTGGGAAGCTGACTTTGTAGTTCTCATCTTATTTTTTTTCTTTTGCTTCATCTCTTTCCATTTCCACAGGGAACACCCACAGCCTGATTTTACAGACTTCTTTGTTTTCCAGAGAACTGAAGGATAATAGCTATGTTAACAGGAGGTTTGGCTTTAACTACTTGAATTGCTGAACTGTCTTAATTACTTTAACTTTGAATTGGTTTTACTAATTCACAAACATATTTATACTTCTGAAGACTTAATGCAGTTAAGTATTTAAGCACTTTCGCCTGGCTGGGAACACTCTTGCTGAAGAGTTGAGGAGATCATGTAAACATGATCTCCTCAACCCTTTTTCATGATTCTGAACTAAAAACTGTAGTAGAGTATTTGCAGCTCCTTACTGGGTCACTTTAGGCATGTTTTGTCAGTATGTGTCTCAGACAAATGTGCTTGAAGATTATTTAAAAATTGTTTTGCCAAAGAAATGTGAAAATGTTGTCCATATCACATTTTACCTCAGAAATATTATACTCCTACTACAGAACTCCTTTTAGTTTGCTAAAAATAGTCTTTCAAAGGGACAGTGTGTGCTTTAATGTTTGTCCCAGTCTTTCCAAGTAACTTTTTACTTTTCTTAATAAGTCTCTCTGGAAGTACAAGCTGCAGAGAAATAGTGTATTTTTCCATTGTTAATTTCTCACTGCACTTTGCTGTTCAATAATATGTACTTAAGAATGAAGGTTCAACAGTAATAATGCATTTGTAAAGAAGAGAACTATGAGGAATAAGACCCAGAAAACCAGGTATCTGACATATATATGTGAAAACAAAGCACTAATACCACCTGAAGAAGAATGTAAAAGTGAACAAAAATTCGATTTTGCAGCCTGGTATCATTTTTTTTAAATGAGGCAGTGTATTTTAAAACAGTGATTTAAATGCTGCTTGTCTCATCCATTTCATTCAGCTGTCTTCACCATTTCCAACGGATTGTCTACCCCAGCTCAGCTTCTTACCCGGAGGAACTTTGTTATGTATGCTTATTTAAATTTCTCTTTGAAATTCCCTGGAATTCTAACTTGCCAATGGGGGCAAAAGTACATCTTTAGAAACCTGTGTCTTTGTTGTCCGACAGAAGTGTGAACAGCTACTCCATGAAAGGGAAATTTCCATCAAAGTAGGAGAAAGTACATGCGCTGATTTTATCTTTTTGATTTTATTGTTAGATTTGTGGGCAGTCAGGAAAATGTTCCTCTCATTTTCCTTTCTTACAGTTCTTCTTTGCTACAACTGAGATTTTTTATTTTGCACAAAATCCTGCAGCTTGTTCTTAATATTACCATTTAAAAGTAAAAAGGTATCTAAGATAATTATGGCAACGATGAGAAGAGACAAATGGCAGAGGTGAAAATATCAAAGTTTAACATCTGAATGAGACTGTTAAGACTTATTCTCCTAGGAAGAGAAAAAAGGATGGGAATATATGATTCTAAGATCACTGAATCTGATGATGCTTTAGAAAATGCAAATCTTATTTACCTGTGCAATCATGTCTGCCGTTTCAGAGTAACTATGGCACTTTTTCACAGCTGAACGAGCCAAAAAGTCATCAATCAGTCTTATGCCGATGCTGTATCCCCTGAGGAGGAAACAAGGAAAGGCAGCATTTAAAATGGGGAACTTCTTTCCACCTGCCATCTCCCTAATGCGTCTCTTGCGCTTCCTCAGCAAAACAGCTGCATGATCCTAATTGAGGGACTTCAGTGACAACATATTTTGCTGGTCTACCTTCTTCTTTCTGCCACATTTTACAGCACAGTGGGACTGCTGTTCATGCAGTCATTTAAGGAATCATACTTCTTTAAGCATGATGCTCCTGGCAAGGATGTTATGAATTGTCTACACAGTTTGTCTGTACATTGTCTATACGCATGGACACCAACCCTGGGCACCCTCATTGCAGCATTCAGGTGCCATAGGAAATGCAATCACACCTGATCTCTTTCACTTTCTCCTCTTACCTCTTCACCTCATTTTTCACTCTTCCTTCACAATTACCTGTTTGTCTTTTTTCCTAATGTTGTTTCCCTTCATCTTACTAGTTGACGAAAAAAAAAATCCAGAAGTTGTTAGTTAACACGTTACCAATAGGTAAGGCTTGATAAAGGGAAGACCTTGTGACATGGCTCCAGCCTGTTACTTAGGCTAAGTAGAAGGGAACTACGGAAGAGGGACTCAGCTGAAATAAGAGTAGAGAAACATCAGAAATGAGATGTGAGACGTGAGACGTGCTGTGTGACTGCCACGTGTCCACATCGTCTCCAAATTGTGGGGTATGGTGGTTGGTTGACTTGGGCTTGTTGTGCCTTAAAACTGTGTAAACTGGTAACAGATTAACTGCTTAAAAAGGCTGGGTTTTTGGCAATAAGGAGCACTCCTTTGTACCTGCCTGGTGTTCCTGCCTCACTCATTACCACAACACAGAGTTTTTGTACACTGCCACCTCCATTTTGTATTTAAAATACTACATTTTTTTTAAAAGTAAACAAAAAGGTATGGAAGATAAAGGAATTTTTATAAAACAAATATTCATTCCTAGCTCTGACACATTAAAAGGCCAATAACTTCTTAGTGTGCAAAACAGCTGTGACTCCAAACATTTTCTGAAAAATGGAAAGACATCGACACAAACATCTTGTAAGAATGGGTACTCAGCCCAGAAATGTTTTTAGAAAATTATTCATTCCCAGTTATGTGGATATAGGCAGTGTCTGCTTGTTTGTCAGAGGACCTACACCCATGGTGAAGCAGCCTGAACTCAGTGGAGCTTCTTACTGGTTTGTGTACAACATCTTTGGCTAGAAGACAAACTGTGAGCTGATGACAAGACCAAAAATTGGGTTTGGCAACATGAAGATTAAAATTGCAGTATGTCATGTGTCTAGAAACAATTAAATATTTATCTATTGCCTAAGTATCATTATCAATAACATTGGCAAATGTGTCATCAGCATTTAGCAAGGTATGTATTAGTGACATACAAGACTACTTAAATACAGTTCAACTTTTATGCACTAGATTTGCTAAGTCAAATTGATAACAGACTGGTAAGCAGCTACTTGGCAACTGTACAGTGAAAAACACCCTTCTCACTACAGAATGTACACAGAGAGAGAGATAAGCATACTGTCCCACCTGTCACAGGTCTGCTGAGATGCGAGGTTTCTTTGTGAAGCTGGGCTGCTTCATAACCACAGAAGTAAAGAACACATTGTTTTAATGAAACCTGTCATTATATGACCAAGTCTTCCTCAAAACAAAAAGATTTCATAGAAACAACTGCAATAATGAAAACATAAGGAGGAAAATCTGTCTCCGCGTCTTCCAAAACTGCTCTCTAGTGATTTCTACCATGGCATCATTGAAGAAGCCTGTGCATATTTCAAATGTATGATTTGTATGATTTTCACCAGAGCTGAATGAAAGATGAATATTAAAAAGTATCTGAGGGATGTTATCTCTTATAAGTTTGTGAATAAATTACTTTTCTTTTTCCCAAACAATGATTTTTTTTTCTTCATTTACTCTCATGGATAGTTATTGGACTACAGCTAGTTTGCAAGCTTTCAGGTTAATAGTAAAGTGGTCAGGGTATTCTGTCCTCTGTGATTTTTGTAAATCCATTTTGCATGTCCACTTTGCCCAGAAATACAAGCCTTACTGTTCTGACAAAGGCCTTACTATATGTTCTTGTTGACCAGCTAAAAAGGTGTTTCTTGCTGATTTTCCATTATATTGATATTTTTATGACAAATGTAATGCCTAGAAATCTCAGTCAGGATGACAGGATTTGTAAACATTGAATCTTAATTTTCCAATGAGGTTATCCATGTAAAAATCCACCCCCACTGACCTTATGTGCTATCTCACTCATTGCTGTAAGGTCCTCTAAAGGTGAGAGACTCATTTGCCCCTAACCCAGTAAGGGATATCGGATATGAAATTTAGAAGATTATATTAACAATGAGCATAACTAAAGGATCAGGAAGGAACAATCAATGAAAACAATCCTGACACCTTTCCTCAGCGAATTAAAAAGCTAATTGTTGATCTTAATTCACAAATTAGTGTTGTTTCTGTTGACAGAATATTGAACATTTTTACTGTCTTCTCAGTAACCATAGACACACTACTGGAACTTGCAAGATAACAAACAAAAAGCTGAAAGGTAATATATATAAAAACAAGTATCATTAAGGATAAAACTGAACATTTAAAGCAGTACTTACATTCTATCTAAACAGGCATTGACATCTTCATCTTTTTCATATTCCTTGCACAGCTGGGCTACCAAAGCCCCATATGTGAGTACAAAAAGTTCTCTGCTCTGTCAGAAAATAAGAAAATCAAAAATGAAGCAAGCTGAAATCCAAGTCTTCCATGGTTTTTAAGATGCTGTTCATTAAAAACAAGTAAAAAATAACATTTAAATTAATAAAGAAAATTTTTGTCCGTGGATGCATAATCACTGAAATCGACATTTCAAGCATGACAGAATTTATATTCATCCTCACTTGAGTTTGCAAGGGATTTTGGTTTTCAGAAGTACCATTTCTTGGTACACTCAGGGTTACTATCATCACTAATTCTTGCATCTTGAGTGTATGTATGCTGGATTGACAAATTCTGTCAAGTGCCATCCAAGAATAGTAACAAACAGCAGCAGGAAGAGTGGCAATTAATCCTTCTGCAGTAGCACAACAGTTCACAAAGGTAGGGTTGATCTGATTCAAATCATTAGCTGCTTTCTCTAAAAAAATAAAAAGTAGAGAAAAATCTAGCTCAGAATAATGAAAAAATACTATAATTCAGCACAAGGGTAAAGAATAACAGTAAGATGAAAGGGACGGTGAGGATTGCAGCTCCCAAGGAACATGGAGAGCAACTGAAGATGCCAAAGGAGTATCTCTGCACTGGTCCTGCCACAAGCACTACTGTGGGGTCTTCAGGTGTGCAACAATTTGGAGAAGAGTTTCCTTCTCTCTCTGCCCTGTCAGATCACATGCATGCACTGCACAACTGCCTGTATTTAGCAGGAGTAGCAGCTGTCCTTTAAGTGAGAGAGTAGGTTGACTCTTACTATACTTCTTGGACAGAAATTAATTAAAGGAAGTGCTACAGCCCTGTGACGTGGTCAGACCAGAGCTGCTTTTTGTCTCTAGCCTGTGAAAAAATAATAGTGAATACCAATAAAAACAACAGAACAAATCACACTGGCAAAGTAAGAACAGCTGGGTGGAAAGATTTCTTCCTGCTTCCTTTGCATCCAAAGTTTGGAGTTTAATCAGTGTTGCTGTTCTAACAAGTCATTGTTCAAAATCTTAACCAGAACCACTTTCCAAACTCATTCAGTGATAACTCCTGTTTAAAATAATGTACTCTTGGCCAAATTCTCAGTAACAAGTTTTCAATGGAGTGAATGGATGTCATACAGGTCCTGTATTTCTTTGTTATTATTGTCAGTAAAAAGTCTCTGTTGCAACAAGAAAATTACCTCGGAGAAACTTAAGCATAATATATCAATGTAATCAACTTTATCAGTCACACTTGCAATCCATTGGAATACTTTTTGACCATAAACTTAGGTATAGTAACTATAATTTTATTACACTCTCTGATTTTTCAGTGGAGACCACTGTCCTCTTTTCAGAAATTGATAAAACATTGTCTTAAAGTCTTCTAGAATTTTTCCACTGTCCAGTTCCTGTCAAAAATCACCATTCACCATAGAGAAAGCCCTAAGGCTCTAAACTCCTGAAGAATGGTTTGTGTGGAATGGAACCATTCAAGCACAGAACAGAGATCTCCTTCTCTCTGTGTTTCATTGAATGACTATCTAATCACAGAGGTACATAAACTTACCTGGCATTTATATCTTAGACCATAAACACTTGAAGCACTTAGACTTCTGTTTCTGAACAGACTGCAGCCTCAGAACCTTTGTGCCCCTCTTTCCCAAGCCTGTACAGAATTCCAGCACTAGGAATCGTAGCCATAAATGCTGCCAGCAGCTCTGCTCTTATACCATCAATCTTATCCCTATGCTTTCAGTACTTTCAGATTGTTCAGAAACAGGAGTGTATAAAATGCATCAATAAAATAATAGGTTATTACTCCATGCACAATTTGAATAACACATTACAAAAATGTCTTACTATTTTGTGGTTGTCCTGCTTTCTTCCTGGTGACCGAGACATGTTGCTTGTGTAACTCCGGATGTATTTGATTGTCAGTTTATATCTTTTCTTCCTCAAGAAGCACAGTCTTCTCTCAATCCTCTTTCTCGTCTCTTTTCTCCTCTCTGCTCTTCTGTCTTTTGCATGAGATGTGTTTGCTGCAGTCTGTAATGCTGCTGATGCTCCTCCTATTCTCTGCATGCACTGAGCCCTTTGGGAGGAATTTGACTGAACAGATCTGCCACCGTCCACAACATAAATAATCACTCTGTCCATAGGAATGGTTTGTAATCAAATACACAGCTAGCACACATGGGAAGTCAAAGAGAACAGGTCTTACATTTTTAGGGACAGTAAATTAATTTTTTTGTTTCTATCAGACTTTGGTGTTTGGAGAACTAACAAAAACTTCAGCTCTAAAGAATAAAAACACAATTGCAAGGTACTGCTGTACAAGGGAAATAAAAATTGATTGTTTTCAATCTAAAGAAGCTATAGTAGTCTGCCAACTCTGGCTGCTGTAGTCTGGTGAGTTAATATCTGCCTAAGTTGGGGAAGTGTGGCTTTTAAGGCACTGCTACCACCATGTTTGTGTAAAGCTGCCAGGGCAGATTGAGAGAACTCAGCTTCCCAGAGGAATAAATTCTGTACCTGTATAGCTGCCAGCTTGTGCAAATGGCGCTTTCACTAACCATGTTCCTAAGGGGTTTATAGAATCATAATTCCATCATTCTTAACCTGTTATAGCCCATATTTCTTAATATTGTTGCAATGAACATCCAGGCTTAGTTCATCTATTTTGCCATGTGGTAAATTTGGCACATGAGGTCGTTTTGATTTGCACTGAACTTTGATGATGGTCACTGCTGAATTTAGAAATTAATCAGGTAGTTGTCATTCCTTATAGGATTTACCTGAAGATACATTCCAACTGAGTCCTCTCAAGAAAGGAAGTAAAAATATATGGCCTCCTCCTTAATAACAGCCATGCTGTTATTAAATTTCTATTAACTAATAGATTCAGTGCTAGAATAAAATTACAGATATTTACTTCTACAGATACACAGAAGGCATTCAGATGGGATTCATTTGGGATAAGGAAGATTAGTTTATTTCAAAAAATGGTAGTTTAAAGTTATGACACAATTCAACCAGGAAAAATAAAGATTTTCAGCTTTTTCTGTGTAAGGCTCAGTCATTCTGACTGCTTTTATTTCACACAGAATGAACTTGTATTGACAATTTTACAATGTAATTGCCTCTTCAATTTTTTTATTTTTCAGGTGCTCTTCTGACCCTGTAAAACCTTATTCCATTTTATAAGTGAAACAATTGTAAGTACTTCTCATATCTAAATTTTAATAAATTTTAAAATCCAGGCATTACAATTCTCTAGATAGTTACTTGCATTTCTAAACTGAGTCTGAGATGGGTTTGTTTCTCTGATTGTCTCCAACTAGTGACAAGCACCAAATATATCTCATATTGCAAGAGTAATCCCATATTCCACAAGAAAGAGTACTGCATTACATTAAAAAAAATAAAAACAACAACCTGTGAGATTGTAATTAGCATAATTCAACTTCAGTGAACCCACTACAAAGCACTTAAGACTACTCATAAATAAGCACAATTCTGTTTATCTGGTTCAGAATATATATGGATTAATTACTTCAGCCTGCATTATTAATATGATAATCATGTGGGAACCCTGTGCACCAGACAGTGCAATAGCAAGGATACATAAACATCCTTTGAAAAATGCAGACATGCCATGTGCACCCAAGTAAACTCACACATATATTGCTATTTTTTGAGTACAAGGTACTGCATTTTGAAAGGTTTGCACATTATTGAGAAAACAAAGCTGAAATGGTGTGTCCAAACAAACTGGGGATTCATTGGCTCCAGTGAGGGAAACAAGTCCTTGGTGGACTGTCTTGCAGCCCTGTGAAAAGAGTAGAGGTAGGCACACATCATGTTTTAATCCTGAACATGTACTTCTTAGAAGGGATCCAAGGCAATTGGAATAGTGAGAAAGTTAGAATCACCCTCTACCTCCCTTTCTGTCCTGTTTTTTAGGTGAGAAATTTAGCCTTCTGCCCCAAAGTCAGTCTTCACAGTGCTTGAGCATTAGACTACAGCAGTTCTCTCAATTCCCATCAAACTAAAAAATAAAAACCAAAGCTCAAAAGCACAGATAAAAGCATGCACCAGCACTCTGTCTCTTGCAATGGACCAGCTATTATGGGAAAGCTGATACCTACAGAGGTAAGTACATGGTAAGTGCAACATAGAAATAAAGAATAAATCAGATATTGCCTAATTAGAAAGCCAAAAAAACCCCAAAACCAACAACAAGTGAAATTTTCTTTAAGGCAAAACAAGAATGCATTAACCAAAAAAGGCAAGTGTACAAATTAGTAAAATGCAGGGTCAAGCTTTTGTTTGCTCTCCATTTTTCAGATGGATAGACCATGTATTAAATTTTCTCTGACAGAAAATAGAATTCTTTCAAACCACAAGAACATAGGTGTTGAGGGCTTGAAGCTATGTGAAAAAAACTTGAACACAGGTTTCTCATATCACACATGAGTGCTTTTACTAGAAGTCCAGCGTGGCTGCTGGTCTCACCACGTTTCCAAATAAAGCAATGCCATTGCTGTCACTTTGCTGCAGTGCCCTGCCTGGGAAGCCTTCTCAGTTTGACCTGCTGAAACTTCCTTGGTTAGGTTATGTTTCTCAAGAGGGTGTTTTGAGATTTGAGCGCCTCCTTTCTGCGCTCTGCAGGAACTTAAAATCTCATCAATTTGCCTATAAAGCACAGCTGAATTCTGAAGTGAAATATGTAAGTTTTGAAAGAATCATTAACAGATTTCTATCCTTCCCTTAACATAAAGCTTATAATTTTTTTCATCAGTGCTTGTCCTGGTTAAGGGGACAGGAATTTCTCCAAAGGCCAAAGAGACCATGAAAATGACTTGGCAGCCTGCCTCTAGACTGTGACCTGGCAGCTCACAGGACACGGGCAGTGCTCCCCTCTACTCCCACAGGAAATCTGTCATGCAGGTACTTTCATACCATGCTTTCTAACACGCACAGGTGGGCTTGACATCCATGCAAAATAGAATCCAAAATGTTCAAATGCTAGAGGAGCCACAGAACAACAGCCTTTTTACTGCTAGCTCAGTGATGAAAACATGTGTGCAGGACCAGAGAGACCAGGATTCAGTCTCATCCTCCAAACTTCAGATGGAAAATAGATCACTTCCCTCTTCCTCCCTAACTTTGCCTGGCCATTAGATAACAAAATCCTGAAGGCAGAATATTTTTTTTTTTTTTTTTTTTTTTGATCCAATAAATATCAAAATCCTCTCTGTGGCAAAACTAAGCTCAGCTGGTAGAACTATGGCAGGAATGTTGGAGAACACAGCTTCTTTGCAGCACAGTCACATCTCCCCACTAATAATTGAGTTTTGAAAGAAAGAGATGAGTGAGTTTTTACTAGATCAGGTGGAGAAGGCAGCTGAAATCTCTCTATTCTGCCATGGTTGCTTTATTTCAATAAAAAGGAGAATAAAAATGGTTTGCTGTGTATGGGAAGGTGAAATCTGTACTCCAATAACCATGTCTTAAAAGAAATGACAAATGATTCTCACTCCTTAAAAAAAATATAAAAATCTCTTCTTCTCATAAGTGAGGTTACTGGCAGTGAGTTCAAGCTGACAGCCCTGCAATATGAAAATCAAAACCATGACTAAGGTTTGTTCATGGATCCTATTTGCCTCAGATGTCAGCTATAAGCATCCTTCTGCCTCACAGCCTGCCAGCTGTCACCTCAGGTAGTGGTATTTTGGATTGCATCCAGTCCTAACTCTTCCTTGGAATTGGATAAAGAGCCTCAATGTCTACCTCAGGACCCTGGGTTCCTCTGCAGAGGCAAGTACTTAAAGATTTGATGTGCCACCCAAGCTCTTAATTGGATCCAATCCCGTAATTTGTTCCATAATAGGATGACCCAGCAGGATCATTTACAGCAGGCAATGAAAGCAAATGCCAAGGAATGAAAATGCAGAAGTACAAAGTGGTTGTATTGATTGTATAAATTGCCTCATTCAACAGCCTTAGGCTGACTGTTAATATTTTAGTGTTGGATTCCACTTCAGTTTCACATCTAATGTGTTTCTTGAGTAAACAAGTAATGCTTGGGAAAGCCTTCCTCCCTTATAAACAAAATAAGACACAGGTTCCAAAAGAAATCTCAGAAGGAATCAGAGATTTTAAAATGAACTGAGGCATAACGGAAGACTCTTATAAAATAATTTTGTGGTAGCCTTGTAGGTTTATTTCACTGATTTTTTTTTCCAAATATAATGTCACTAGTACCAAAAAAAAAAAAAAAAAAAGTTACTGAAAACCCTATGATACTAAAAGAAAATGAAGGTTTAAAATGGCAATATTCAGACAGGTCTGGGATTTCTTTGTGCTATTACTCTGTCCAAACAACTAAGAATGTAACAAGCTCCAGAGAAGCTGTGCCAAAGTGCTGCTGGATGTTGCAGCATGTTTCTGTACTGCTTTTAATTTTGTATAACAGCGTCACATTGTTTGAGAGCCAGTTGCCAGCAAGGACCTCTGTCCCAGATGGTGACTGGGGATGAGACAAGCAGGTGTCCACCCTAAGAGTGCCCTGGAGGAACAGGGTCCTGCCTAGTGAACAGGCAAGGCATGTGTAACGTACCATCCCTGCGCGCAACAGCTGAGAGAGTGTCTCTGCCATCCAAGCAGACACCATGGGTGCTAAAACTGCTGTTTGAGATCAAATTTATTGGTAGCAACCCTCTCTGCAAGGGGAGGGAAGAGTGGAGACACTATTGTATCACACAACCAAGAGTGGAGACACTATTGTATCACACAACCAAGTCCACCCATGCTGGACATAGACACCTGTAATGGGAAGGCAAATTTCCCTATAAACTTTCTGGCTAACTTTTACTTTATTTTTTCTCTTGGTAAGAACA